AATACACTTGGGGAAACCCTGAAAATGATATAAGTTTTATGTGTGTGGGGTTGGTTGGCAGGGGCGCGGAAAAGGGGTGAAAAGTGATGACAATTCTAGGGACCCTGACCAGCAGGGACCCCTCCACAATTAAATTTTTTATATTTTGTTCACAGAAATAAAATAAAAAAAAATTTGGGTCCTGTCAAATACAAAATTAATCATATCGTATTTTCAAAGATTGTTAGCAGTAAAAATTTAATGTTACTGCTCCCAGACCAAAAAACACACATCCGTTTTTGCCCTGAACTCCCCCCTGGATCTGCATGAAATGGTTCGAGCGCTTGAGAGTAACGCTGTATGCAGCTGCAGTCAGTAGAAACTGCGGCCACGAATGACTGTACCAGTTACTATGCTGCTAAGAAAAGTTATAAAATCAGGTTTTCTAAAACAAAATAGAGAGAGGAAGAGAGAGAAAAAGGCAAGAGTGTTAATTTATAACACTCTTGTTATAAATCTCTGTGTGAGATTATCAACCATTTAGCTAACTAGCTTAGCTACAAACTACTGTTTGCCTCCATTTCACTAGCATTTAATGCATTAAGGAAAAAAATTACCAACATATTCATATATTTAACGTGTTCCCTGTAACTTTTACCACTTAGCAACGGGTGAGTCAGTCAGCAGCAGTTATAACCCACGTCCCTCCTGACCCGTCCTCTCCTGAGTGAAATTAAAGCTGCAGTATGTAACTTATACAAATATATTTTCTTCCACATATTTGTTAAAACTGTCATTATGTTGTGACTATAAACTATGAAAAATTTATTTCCTCTGCTTTCTCCCAGTGCTCTCTAAAAACAACCAATCAGAGACAGGACAGTTTTAGTTCTGTCAATCACAATCTCATCTGGCTGCTCATCCTTCCACCCCCTCGCTCTGTGCTATGCTGCAGCTAGCATAGCCTGTTGTAAATGCTCAATCTAGTTAGCATAGCTACCAATGAGTGCAGATAAACTATTTTCCTGAAATGACATGTTATTTCTCACTGTTAACACAGTTAACAGTGAGTGAATAGAGTTGATTAACAACACTAAGACCCTCCTCCTGATTCTGATTGGTTGTTTTTGATCAGAATCGTGCATTACTTTAGTTAGCAATAGTAGTTCAGGAAGGAGGTGGAAAAGATTGATTGTTTTCACAGATTATCTGTCTCATAACAAACTGTCACGACATGGTGACAG